TCAAGGGTTTAGTCATAGAGCACTTTGTTCTATTCCCATTTGTGAGCCTGGGGAGCCGTGAGGAGAGTGCTCTATTTGCCCCTCCCCCCTGTATCTCCAAAAATATTCCGTCTGAAGCCATTAGAACCTAGGGTGTGTAAGGCTTCCCTGTTTGATTACATTAGGGATAGTCGCCTGTCAGACATGACGTCAAAGTAAGTCAAAGTGTCAATGTCTGCCAATTTGGATCCGCCTTCTTAAAATTTTAGGATAACTCAGGACAGCTCAGAAATTATTTTAAAAAAAAGGAAATCAAGAAAAAAAAATACGAACACAAGAAATGTATAGAATTTGAAATATAATCGTCGTAACCCCTAAATTCGCCCGAAAACCAAAAACGTTAGGCTTGAAACTAAGCAATTGACATACGTGCACCCAATTTTTCTCGATGTTTAGGAAACGACACGAAAAAATGATCATAAGTATAGTTTGAACGCTGTTTAAGCAAGACAAGATGGACTGAAATCACCGCTGCCCCGTTCCCTCTGTCCAAAAAGGGTTAAAATACCAAATATAGAAAGAAATAAAAAAACTTAAATATTCATATTTCTTGAAAACTCGTTCCTTGAATATCCTATATTTCAACCATAAGGTTTTGGCATAAAGTGTAGCAAATTCTCTTGTGTACAAGGGAGATATTTTGCCCTGGCAGTTTTTAAACGTTATAACGGACGACTGTTTGATATATATAAATGCTTGAAAAGAGTTTTGAATCAAACATGGGCGAGTATGTTCACTTCGAACACTGTGATACACTTTTTTGTCCATGCTTTAGACGCGCGATTACATAAACGTCATTTTTCTATTTTCCGACAATTTCACATAATTCACTCTGTTTGCCGCCAAATTTTGCAATAGCTATTGTTATGAAATGCCCTTTGGAATAGCAAAATTTGGGGCAAACAGCGTGAATTATGGGGAATTAGAAATAGAGAATAGTGTTCAAGCAACGCCAAGTGCCATTAACGCAAAAGTCTTTAAATCTATCCTGCGCGAGTCAATGGTTTGGAAGACCAAGATCAAGTGGAACATTTGACCTTTATCGCTGATATGACTTCTGATTCAATCAAGCAGATTGACTGGAGGGACGTCGAATTTGCTCTGATGAAGTCAACGAATTTACACTGAAAACGACAGATTTGACATCCAATGAATAACTTAGGCCGATGGTTTTATTCTCCAAGAGCATATTCCCAAGAGGGGGCAAACACAGTGAATTATATGGGGAATTGAGTTCTGGATAAGAATTGGAACGCACAAACAGAATTCTATTGAAAAATAGCATTTCTATCGCCATATTTTTGTGGCTAAATATTCAAAAACAGATTTTCTGCGGGAAACGTGGACTGTTGCATAGGCAATGGATTCGAATAGATTAATGTTATAACTTTCACTTGTGCTAAGTTAAGTCAGACGCGTGCTTACTAGGAAAGCCTTATGAAGAGAGTCTCAAAGAGAGTCCTCCATTGGGTTAACCGTCGAATGGCCAAAAAATTAACCGTCAACCGTAAAAACACAATATCTTTCAACGTCAACCGTTAAATGAGCAAGATAATACTAGCCACCAAATGTCTCAGATATCCTTAAATAAGTGCTAAACGATTGTCAAGTTATGCCGTTTATAAAAGATAGTTTTCAGTCCTTTATTTTCTAGTTTCAGGAGCAGGTGATTAATACGTCCTGTGGTAACAAAGGGGAAGTAATTACGCTTATGATACACATATTTGAAGACCATTTAACCGCCAACCTTCAAAACGGCTTATTTTTATCCCGATCAACCGTCAAAGGGACGACCCCCCCCCCCTTGACACGAAAAGCGGTCATACCTTTCTCTTTGGAGAATGGGTTTTTCCAAAACTTTATCTGAGGTTTATCTACGCCAGTGATGTCCAAAGCGTTTTTTTTCCAGTGCAAATGCGCTTTTAAATCAATAATTTGTGTTGCAAACAACACAAAGAACGCGAACAGAATCTTCATTGCCAAGCGTCAGTGTCTTTTCTTCACAAAAAATTTGTCAAAGGTGGGAGATCTGCAACTAAATAAAGCGCAACATGATCAGCATACTTTGGTTGAAAAAATAAATTCCACCAATCACCATTAGAAAGAAATTCGTATATTGATGAATATAACAAAAGATCACGACGTTATTAACAAAACATATTCCCGGAGAAGTCGTTTTTCAGTGTTAAATCATCTTGAGTCAATCAGTCTATGCTACTTGTACTTTTTGCAGAAATGAAGTAGTTCCTGGTATTCTTTGCGATTTCAAATGAAAGTAGACGATTTTGTGCAAAGCAACGGAAAAAGCTAGCATACTCTTCTCTACTCAAAAAGTACAGCAACTCTTTAAAACGTTTGTCAAAGCAAGAATTTGTCTCTTGCTACAAATTTGACTACTATAGTGGAAAAGTAATTAAATACTGTCATTGGAATCAAGTTCAGGAGCTACTCCATACCAAAATATTACGATTTTTGAGTGTGAAAAGTTAAACTTAATCGCCGACGGCCCCAACTGACTCATTAAATTTTTTCTTCGACAGAAATTGAGCCTTCTAGCACTGCACTCCTAAATATCCCTGCTTTATAATCGTGGTTTTATTCCCAAGAATAAGTCAATATGATCTTCGATGACAAAAGATTTTTGGTAACCTACCTATTTACAGCTAGATGCGAGAAGAGTATCCTTATTAGTGGCTTTGACTAAATGGACTGTCTTTGTTGAAAAACATCGCACAACTTTTGCCGATTACTTGTCATGCGGGAAGTCTCTGGACTGCTCTTATTGGACCAAACTCGAGCAATTTAAATTCCCTTTCTGTTTACTCGTCAAATGGACACACCTCTTGTCGTGGTGGCCTGTAAGTTTAGTAGGAAGGAGGCGTGGCTAGGAAAGGTCGCGCTAATGGATATTGGGATCCAATTACCAAACAATCATTTAATATTTAGGCTGTATATGCGAGAAAATCCAATGCAAAGCTTTGCCTGTTCCGTATACATGTAAAAGCCATACTATTTTGACAAATAATGTTTTTGACTTGTTTTATTCTATTCTAAGGTTATTTACCTGATATTCACGAATGCTGAGTGCATATTGGTAAGTATTAAATACGGCACTTGACAGGTAACACCGAAGAAGGTGAAACTTAATTAGGCGTTGATGGGCAACTGGTAACTCTCCAAAACCACTTTGGTTATTTGATAGCAATTAGAACTGCACCGTACCTTTCGTCATTTAATGACATTTTGAAAATATAGCTTAAAAATCAGTCAAAAAATCAGTCTTAACTAATTATAAGAAAAAAAGGAACGTGTGTATAGTTCATGAATTATGTCATATTCATTGGGCGATCACGCCCATTTACTAATATCTGCGGATTTTACGTTTACTTTTGAAGTCTTTGAGAAATTGCTACATTTAAGTCTTCGCTGTAACACCGACCGATAAAGTTTTCTATTGGAGGAGAACGAGAACGCATAATGTGACGTGCCTCAACACTGCACAACTCGCCACGGAACAAAACGCTTCGACCTTAGACGGGCACCTGATGGGGACGTGCCTCTCAAGATTGCAACAAATCAACAAATGAGTGCATTTTGTACATATTTGGTAATTGATACACGCCAATACTAAATTTGACCGAGAGAAATATATAAGGAAGCTCAAGAAAAGAAAAAAAACAGAAAGGAAAGCATAAAGCAACGCAATGCATTACAACAAATGTCGAT